CAAGGGGAGCGCGCTTTGGCTCTATACGTAATTAGGTTTCAGGGAGGACTTAGCCCAATTTTCTTCTTCTAGTAAAATAATTGTACGAAAAATTGTATATTTTTATACCTGTCTAAAAATCGTAGTTGCATTTAACTTCCTATAACTCAAAACCACTATCTGTTAACAAAAGGGTTCATAAATTGATTATAGATAAGTTTCTGTTATTAATGCTGTTTCAACAAATGACTTTGATTTTACAATTATTACAACCAATTTATTACACACAAAAACAATTGTATTTCCCTATTTCTGTGTGTTTAGTATTCATATTTTAATTTTAAATAATTTTGAAAAAATTAATTTAAAACCAAATATTTTTATGTCTAAAAATAAAAATTTTTTTGGTAGCCCTTACATAAACGTATCACATAAGTTGAAATATTTGAATTTGTATATTTCATAATTTATAATTTTATATCTTTTCTATTGGTCAAATAACCAATTATTTTGTACTTTGTTATGTCTTATACACAAGTGGAAAAAAGGGTAAAAGCAAAAATTGATCTATAGTTTCCACAGAAACTTTAAAATTTTCTACAGCAAGCGAACCAAAGAATAAATGCTTACACATGAACGAAGTCAATAAAGTACACAATGAAACAAAAATAAATACTTTTAAGCTTAAAATTTGTTTAGGGGAGAACTCTTGAGCAAAGAAAATTAATTAAATGAAGATCTTAGGTGTACAATGAAATGTTTTTATTTGAAAATTTCATCGTTATCTGTTTGGTTACTTAATATGACTTATTGAGGAAAATCAAGAAGCGGAATGTTTTTATATTCCTGTTGAATATGCAATGACAACAGTAAAAATACAGCAAGAAAGAAAGAAGATTCTCCGACACACTTCGCTGCTCGTTAATCAATTAAAACATTTGTGAATTTGCATAAACATTTTCGCCAGCAGCTCTGCCATAATTTTTGCACTTGCCATTCCCCGTTTGTTTACATGGAAGCGTTCTGTCCCCGTCCCCTTCCTCCGTCCTCCGTCCTCCGCCCTGCCCTGCCAAATTGCGAATGCGGCAAACAAAAATTGATTAAAACATCACGTAATCGCAACGCCGCCTTCGTCTCCATCTTCGTCATCGTCATCGGACTGGGAGCTTGGGCCATGGGCGGCGCCAACGTCAAGTTGCGGCTCTGACATGGCATCCACACACTGAGTTCGCCAGAGATCCCCGGACTCCGGCGGAGCACCGCACGTACGCATGTGGTTTCACTCGGGCCCCGGAATATGCCTCATGCATATGAATTCAAATCGTTTCAATTGAATTCTGCGAACTCGCAGTTGATTCATCTGACAGCCACTGCAGTGAATTCAAATCGAGGTAATTATCCAATGCTTGCGGCAGAGCTATCGAGTCTATTGCGAGCCGCAGATATTAATGACAAATTGCGCATCGATGAGGTGAATGTGGACCAAGTGACTCACTGCCAGCAGAGGAGCCTGACATCTTATCATCGCCCCCATAAATAAGGCAAAGGGACATGGACACTCGCATCTGGCATACGTGGATTCCGTGCCCCGACAGAGGCACCGTAATTCTTTGCTGCAGTCTTCATAAATTTTGTTTTACATGCGGCACAATGTCAGTGCCCTTGCTTTTGGGCCATCCCAGCCCGCCGTCGACCCTGCTGGCCTGGCCAAATATGCTTAATGACTTGTTTGTGTGCTGGATTTAATATAAATTATATTTTTCGAGCTGCCCGCGAGAGGAGTGAATCTTCCCTGGAGAGAGCCAATGGAACCAGTTTGGTTTGCGAAATGATTAAAATTTTATTCCAATGAATTTTTGTGTGGCGATGCTGCTGCAATTGCTGAAGGGCAATCCCTGGTGAATTATGGGGAGGAGCTGGAGACTTTAAGCTGCCACTTCGCATGCAGCCGGGACTTCATCCATCATGGGAAATTGAACTCATCTCCAGTCGGCTTGCCTCCCACGCAACTCTCAATAGATTTCCATGTCGGAATATTCGTTTCTGGGTCAGAGTGCTTGATTGATAGTAAATAAAGAGGGCCCCGCTCGAATCAAGTCAAATCATATTTCTTCTTAGCGGTACTTGGGCATTTTAATTAGTCGCCTCCTCCTGCCTCGGCTGCTTTGACACAAGGGGCAAAATAATTGGCTCAATTCAGGGACTTTCAATTCGAGCTGATTGTGGGGCAAGTGCTCAAGTAAATAAACCAATCCGGCGCAGAGTTCTGTGTGTCATTTGGATCAATCAATCAGGGGATTTGGGTTTGCACGAGTTGTGGCCCAGAAATATGCCACACATGAATCAACTGAGGAGCGGAAAAAAGGTTGCTCATAAAATATATAGCAAGGCCTGAATTAATTTGCAATGAAAATGTGCGAAAAGATGCAAATGGCCGGGATTTGCAATAAAAAATTGACCAAAAACATAAGTTTAACGGTGCGGCTACGAAATATGTTGTCAAATAAATAAAAACTCCGAGCCGAGCACACGAAATAAAAGCCGGAGCCGGAGCATGAGCCGGGGCCTAGCATGTGGGAAACTTCTCCATTTGATATAAATGTGAGGATGTTTATCCTGCCCAGCCTCGACGATGACAGGAAACTGTAAGGAATTGCTTCGGGTTGCTCTGCGGAGCGGCAGAAGGATGGATGGGTGGAGCGCTGAACTTGAAAGCTGGCAGGCGATCAATATTTCATGCAAGGTTCGAAAAAATCTCTCTAGCTTGTTTATGAAAATGCAACCGGAAATCGAATGTCTATCAGGGCAAACATTTCTATAAGCTAGAGTGGGGAGTCGAGAGACGGGGTGGGAAGCCAGAAATAGTGATGGCTAGTAGCTTCCTCATCCCTCCGTAAATTATGCAAATAAGTCAACACTGAGCGAGGAGAGGATGTGTGTGTCTGCTGCAAAAGTTTCCCCGGCGGACCACAAATGAATCATATGCCAAAAGGCATTTGAAGGCCTCAAGCCTTTGTAATGGGCCCTTTGGGCCCTCCAGACCCTCCGTCCCCGTCCCCGACTCCGCATTCCCCCCCTCATCCACCTCGCAAAGTCTGCGCCAACATGACGCTTGAAAATGCATATTGAAGCAGGGAAAGTTTTGTGCTCGAGTCTGAGCGCTGTCAATTTCAGTTTCCGTCTCCGTCCGGATCCGAGATGATTTTGGCAGATTTTCCCAAGTAGAAACATTTGTCTTTCCTGCAGCTCGGGTGTGATCAAAGAACCGAGGCCTGCTTACCCTTCTCGACGCTTATAACTTAAATTTGGGACCGCATGCCGAGACTCACCTGCGAGGACGGAGATAAAAGATGCTGGAATCTTGGCCGGAACATTCGAACTCTTAATCTATGCGTGGTCCACGACTAATCCCTGGCCACAAACCGACTTACATCGGGTTTAATTAACGAAGGAGGCGTGCTGGGGCGGGCGGACTAAACTTAACCGGAACACAACTTAAGCGCATAAATTATAGCCTGAGCTCGGACTTAGGAATGCTAATGATGTCCTCGGGCTGTCCCTGCTCCACTCGCTTCCTGGCCCGGCTAATAATGCTTTGCATATAATCAGGCAGCCCATGCATGACCTTTCCCCGGCTTCGCCCGGGCTTTTCGATCCGTATTCTTGGGAGGCTCAGGGTGCTAATCCAACAACTTGACTGTCATTACCCCAGGACATAGGACATGGGACACAGGACTCAGGACGCAGGGCAGGAGGGACTCATTGCTGGGAAGACGCAGTCGGCGGAGGAGGAAAAAAACGTTCATTTGCTCAATCGTGCACTCGAAAATGTCAATTTACATTTGCGGACTGGCTGGCAACGCATTTTCCCCTGTGGGGGAATCTGAGCCCCAGCCAGCTTAAGTTGACTTTAACGCCTCAATGCATCCAACTAGAAGGGCCAGATGAAGGCCAGATGAGGGGGCAGGGCGGGGGCATTTCACATAGGAGAAAGTTTTTGTGTGTGCAACAGGGAAAAAAGGAAAACTTTTTATTAAAGTCAGCTGAAATGGCTGGAACTCGTTTCGGACTCGGATTTCCATGAGCACAGAAACTAGCCGTAGTCCTCTTCCGCCCACGCCTCTCTGCCTTTGTGTGTGTGTTTGACAATGTGGGCGTGGCTCTCGGCTCTGTCTGTTGCTTTGGTCAAGTTAATTTGTATGTGTGGCCGTAAACTTTTGCCAGCTTAGACTTCCCAACACGCCTCGCTGGCCAGTGGGCGGCGGGCTGGACGGATGGATGGATGAATGGATGGATGCTGCCGCCACGGACATTCGAACAGCCGGGTGCGGGCTGGGCCTTCCCCCGATATCTCAAATGTCCAGTTCTGGGCTCCGTCCACAATGTGTGAATTTTGTTGGCTTATTGCTTTTCTATGCCGCATAATTGCTGACTTCTTTCACACATTCGCACACATCATTGGACCGAACTGGACTGGCCAGGAAGGGACCGATTTGGGTGGGGCGGCGTGTGTTTGTCCTTGGACAAGGCGCATAAATCATTGGGGGCTGCCGCAGAGTCCCGAAATTTATGCTTGGTTGCATTTTTGAGGCTCAGGACCCAAGGACGGGGCCTGTTTAAATGCTCGCCCAGTGGGCAGGGCAGATAAGAGCGGTTGGGTTCGCTGCGGCAGTCAGAACAAATCAAGAGGAAAGCTTCCGGGAAGCGTATTTCAATTCAGAGCTGTCGGATGCCCACTCCCGCTATCTCCATCCTGGCGCACCCTGCCCCTCCCACCGGCTTCGTAGTCAGCCAAAGTGTTTTTCGAATAGTTTCCCACTTCGGTCCGGGTGGCATGGCTACTCGATGGGCCTCCAAGGTTACCACCGCTTGTTATCCAAACAAGTAGTCCCAGCAACGCGCATTGAATTCGCCTTTCCCAGAGGCGCCACTCACTTCAGCTCAGATCCTCATCTAGGAGATAGTTCTCTCACTCTGGTTGTTCAGGTTCACACCTCATTACCTCGATTACATTTAGAAGGATGCCCTGCTTTTCCGCCTCCAATGTGCGGTTCGTGAGCGCGGAGTCGCAGTTGCAGCAGAAGTGCAACGAGCTGCGGGCACGGGCTCGTGCCCAGACGGCGGCCTATCGTCCGCCCGCGGGGGGATTCCGTCCCTCCACCACCTATGCGTCCTTCAGGAGGCCAGCCTGCGACCAGTCGGCGGCCTACGACCAGAAGCAGCTGAAGCGCAACGAGCGGGAGCGGAAGCGCAACCAGGGCACGAAGCAGGTGGTGCTGCGGCCCGGAGAGCTGCGGCGGCTCAAGGATCAGGGGAAGCTGGAGACCGTGGGCGAGAAGCTGCAGAGGATCGACCAGCAGGAGGAGGACCACCGCAAGCAGCTGCGGATGGTGGAGGAGACCCGACGCCGATTCAGGGCCATCGACGAGGCCAAGGGAGAGGGAGCCTCCGAGGACAGGACGATCCTGCTCAGCGAGATCCTGGAGGAGAAGCAGTCGGTGCTGAGCCGCGCCTTCCTGGCCCGCCAGGAGCAGGAGCAGGAGGTGAAGCAGGTCAACCGCATGATCCTCGACGCCAAGTGCAAGGCGGTGCGGGAGGCGCAGATCCAAGAGAAGCACCTCCTGACCAAGGCGCTGCGGGAGGACGACGAGCGCCTGGCGCGAATGGTCAACGAGCGGGCCCAGAAAGCGCTGACCGCCGAGGACGAGCGCGAGCGCCTGGAGGTGGAGAAGCGGAACCGCTATGCCCAGGAGATCCGGCAGCAGCTGTCGGAGCGGGAGAACGTGCGCTACCTGGAGGCCAAGCGGGTGGCAGACGAGGCCAAAGACATTCGCCGCGCCACCGAGCTCCTGCGCGGCCAGGAGGAGCAGCAGCGGGCCTTCGCCCAGCTGCGCAAGCAGCGCTTCCGGGAGGAGCTGCAGCGCATCCGGGACATGTCCAACGTCTTCAAGACCATGCTCAGCGAGCAGGAGCGCCTGGCCGACCTGCGCGTGACCACCTACATGCGCGAGAAGCAGGAGAAGGAGCGCCAGCTCAAGGAGATGCAGCGCCTGGCCAAGAAGGAGTTCGAGCGCCGGCAGCAGCGCATCTTCACGGTGGCCGCCGAGGCCATGGAGACGCGCCAGACCAACGAGGAGCTGAAGTATCTGAAGGAGCGGGACCGCGTGGAGCGCGAGTACCGCCAGCGGGAGAAGGGGGCGGCCATCGCGCGTCGGGAGGCGGAGCGCGATCTGCTCGAGTCGCGGGCGCAGCAGGCCCAGGAGATGCGGCAGCGCCTGGCCCTGGAGATCGCCCACGCCGGGGAGGAGTTCGCCAAGGTCATGGACCGCATGCGCGAGGAGGAGGACAAGCAGAAGGCCATGGACCGCCAGCGGGACGCCCAACGGCAGGTGTACCGCCAGGACCTGCGCCAGCAGATGACCGACAAGCAGGCGGAGCGCCGCCGCCTGGCCGAGCTGGAGGCCGGACGGGTCCAGAAGTGGCTCGACCAGGAGAAACAGCGGGACGCCAACATCCGGCAGGTGATCAGCGCCAAGATCGCCGCCATGCGCGAGAACTGCCTGCCGGAGAAGTACCTGCGGGAGGTGGAGAAGCAGCTGAAGAGCATTCAGAGCACCCGCAACCGCATCCGCTGAGCCGCAGGTGGTTGCCTAGTGTCGGGCGGGCTTGGAGAGTCGGCGGATGGGGCCCACTGGCGCCCCAAAGTATGTGGCAGCAGCCTATAAGCTATTCACTTTAGTACTGTAAGGTTTCAGAATAAAATCCACTTCCTCATGGATAGACTATGCTGGGCGGGTGGGGAACTCGTTTGGCGGCTGGGTGGGTGGCTCCTTGCCATCCACCTCACGGATCTCCGCCCGTCCCAAAAGGTTCGGGGCCGATCCACAGCCCGAAAGTATGCCATAAAATTGCCAGCCACAAGTAACTGGCGAGGCGAAATCAAAGAACCGCCATGATGACGGTGCGACATTGTTGCGCGTGCGGCAGAAAAGACCGCCCACACCACGCTAATTCGCAACTATGTGGGCGTTTAGGCCACCTTCCCGACCCACTTTCCCCGCGGGCGGGCGCAAACAATTACGGAGGGGGAAACTACTGCCTCGGTGCCATGGAAAAAGTGGTAGCCAACTTTGGCTACAATAAAATTTTATTATGCCACACACATACGCTGAGCGTACACAAGCAAACAATGGAGAGACGAAGATGAAGCTGTAGCTCGAGTGAAGATGCCACCGCCAGCGACAACGGCAACGACGAACTCTTGTGCATGGTTCAATTATCGTATTTCATGATTCGTTAAATTTTCGCATTCGCCGAAAAAATACGCAAGATAAGCCCCGCACCTCCCACCAACCTACAACCTACAACCCACCACCCAGCGGGCTGTGGGCAAAAAAAAGCCAAGGCGAGGAACAGGTTTCCCCCGGCAACCATTGTGATTCCTATCTACGACATGTCGGGGATCCGCAGAGGGGCTCCTGGCTCTGGGTTTTGGGCTGGGGATTGCCTGCCACTCGCATATGGCAGTAATAATTCCAATGACAATAAACGTTGTCGTATTTACAAGTACCAACACACACACTCTGACGTGAATTGATGAGAAAAGTTTTGAGGAAATGTCAATAGAGAAGCGGAGACAAACTATGCCCGATGTGCGAGGGAGTCTGCAGGAACAGTGGAACGCAGGCGGAAAATGTGGAGTAAATGCCGAAGGTACCTTTTTGGCTTTCCATTCCCTCGCCCAGCCCACTGTGCCCGTCGCAGCATCTTTGGCATTTATAAATATCGTGCTGGGAAAAGGTAAAAAGCCAAAAAATATCGATATTGTAATTGGAAAAAAGTAAGACGCAGCTGCCTTCGTGTGCACTGCATTCCTGCGTCTCTCCACTCCCATCAAAATTTATCTGCAAGATTGCACACAATTGTTTTGTATTAGCAAAGTGATTTCTTCCCTTGGCTCGCTCCATTCGGGCTGGCTTCCTAGGGCTTAGTTCGGCTGGCTGCGAGGTACCTCCGATATGTGTGCTTAAAAATAAATTGCTCGGCTTTAGTTTTGCGTTTTATTTCTATGGCTTTTCTTTTGTAGTTGCGGTCTGGTTTATCTGCCGCAGCCACAGAAGAGTTTTCCCTTTTCCCGTTTCCCGTACTCCTGTTCCCCTTTGTTGTGCTCTGAGGTAGTTCAAAGCGGCGCAAGACAGATGAGCAAAGTGGTTTCGGTTCTGTATCCCTACTTACATCTGCAGCCAAGAGTGCCCTCCATATCCATATCTAGGTGACTGGGTAATGCGTCTCAATTGCGCCTCAAATTTAAGACATCAATCGTGCGTCCGTTTGCATATCAATGTGGTGTGGGGGCGGGGAAATCGAAATTGAAAATCAATATAAATGAGGAAGCCGCTTGATTGGACCGCTGGGGGGTGTCGCTGCAAAATGGATTTGTGGAGGTCACCGGCAGGAAACTGCGTATTGAGCAGCAGATTGAGCGCAAAAATAGCGAATTATAAATAGACGAAATTCGGTTTAATTGAACATGGCAAATCAATAAAGCTGCCGGGGGAAATGGTCTTAAATTGAGTGCAGCAATCAAAGAATGTCATTCGGGGTAAGACATGATTGATGGCCCCCGATGGTATCTGCTCCATCCGGAAAACCTTTCTGCCTACTCCCCTTCTACCAAATCGACTGATAAGGATGCACCTGTGAAAGTGGCGCCAAAGTGCCCCGAAAACCGACCCCTCTATTGGGCTATGCGAATCTTGGGGTGTGACTGTTCTGCCAGGTATTTGGGGGTACGATTTGCCGATTATGAAATATAGAACTCCGATTAGATACGGCATACGCTTGAGACATACACAATTGGTCGGCCCAAGAATGTTTATTTTCGCTTTCTGCGAGCTGGAATGTGTTCAAGTGGTATTATGACCACAATTACATATTTATTTATCTGTCTATCTGATATGCGCGCTCTTATCTAGCCTTTGTTTACGACAATCTAGTCAGAAGTTGCCATTGCTACGACAAAGGGTTTCCTGGAAATGTGGTCGTCGATCGGAAACCCAACCGAATTGGAATGTCGGGGCCAAGCTCAAAAAATTCCACCCCGTAAATCACTTGGGCAATAAATATTTATTCAGCCAGTATAGCAAACACTTAGATTAAGCCTTAAAATCTGTGGAGAGCCAAACATAATTAACATAAAACAAATAATAAAATTAAACTCGACTTAATTGATTTGTTCATAAATCTCGCGCCTCGCATCCATCCTCGCCAGCCAGCGTTTTCCGAAGCTGCCCGCTCGGGCATTATTTATAATGCTTTATCGGCCAGAAAGCGCCGCAGTCGGCGTCGCAGCCCAGAGATTGTCGCAGCTGATTGGGGAGCTCTCCACGTTGGCGGGCTGCCCACTTCAAAAGCGGCAGCGGCGACTGCGACGTGACTGCGGCATTGTTTACAAACAAACAAGTCGCGGCTTTGGCGCGAGGGACGTCGGTGCGGAGCCAGTAGCCGCCGAAAAGATACAGAGGCCCGATCCGGCTCTGCATATCGGCGGATGCAGCAGATACTTTTGCGAAACACATAGCCAAATTCTTCCGAAGGCGAACCGATTTCCCGGATCGGCACTGGAGTTGCACAACCGACCGCCCTGGATTTCGAAAACCGCCGGCGATCGGGTGTGGGGGTGGACAGTGGCATATCAGGTAAGAGTGCGCCGCGCGCTTATCACATATTTCTGTTTGCTTCGATTTCTAAATGGAAAAATAGTCGAAATAGCAGCCGGCAGGCCGATAAGCCTGATTATTCCCTCGTGCGCCACTTTTCCAGCTTAGTGTCTTAGACGACGTGGGTCAGGTCGCTGGGCAGAGTGGAGGGGCGGGGTAGTGGCGGCTTGTAGACACCTTCGTCGCCGTCCTCTTCCTGCGAGTCCTGTGAGTCCTGGGAGTCGTGCGAGTCCTCGGAGCCGTGCGAGTCCGCGGAGTCCTCCACCTCCGAGTCCTGGATGTCGTCCAGCGGCGTGGTGGTGGTCATGGAGGCGGAGGCAGCCGCTGCCAGGAAGTGCACCTTCGCGGAGGCCGTCGAGTTGTTGTTGTCGGCCATCAGCTGGTGGTGGTGGTGCAGGTGGTGGCTGTAGCTCAGGGAGGGCGGACAGCTGCCGGCGGGGCGGGGGCCGCGGCGCAGCAGGTCGCCCACGTAGGCGGCGGTGATGGCGGCGTAGGCCACGCCCAGGAGGGCGCCCGCGAGGACGTCGGACCAGTGGTGCCAGTAGTCGGCCACCCGGCTGAGCGAGACGCAGAGGGCGGCCATGAGCAGCAGGAACTGCAGGACGTGCCGCAGGACCCGCACTCCGCCCCGCCCGCGCCACACCCCGTGCACGTAGAGGGCCAGCAGGAGCATCGAGTAGAAGCTCAGGCTGCTGTGGGCGCTCGGGAAGCTGACGTGCAGCTCGCGGATCTGGCGCACGGAGAGGTTGTGGTTGGAGCAGTGGAACTGCTCCACGTAGAGCTCCGCGTTCTGGGGGTCCGAGCAGCTGCTGCCGTCGTCCAGCCGCGGCTGGCAGCCGTGGAAGAAGTGGGGCCGCAGGCGGCCCACGGCATGCTTGGCCAGCTCGGTGGTCAAGTAGGTGGCGATGAAGCCGAAGCTGAAGGTCGCCTCCGCCCGCCACAGGTTGCGCAGATAAAGGCGGGTGCGGAAGCGCTTGCAGATCCGCATGATCTCCACCACCGCCACGAAGAGCATCGGGAGAAGGAGCATCAGCAGGAGCAGCATGGGCACCGTGATCGTGCAGTCCTTGTAGGGATAGCGGATGCTCAGGTCCGAGCAGAAGAACCCTCTCTTGAAGGTGTGCATGATTCGAGCGGCTGCTTTCGGATTAGTATTTCTCCCGCGTGGGGCTTATCGCGTGGGTTCAAGCCAATCGCTTGACACTTGGCACTGGTTTTTGAGACAGTACATTTGTTTCTGCCTCACGCCCAATATCTCTGTGGCCAGTCGTTCATTCGCGCCGCTTATTTCGGCTGTCACACAAATTGCGCACTTACTCGCTGTCCGAGCGATTTCTGTTGCGAATTTTGCTTTCGAAAAACTCGCGCACGATTTCCCAGGCCGAGTTCAAAGGCGATTTTCTTCGCGGGAAATTAGCGAATTACGGTAACAGCCGTCTGTCAGTTGGCTGTCAGTCTGCGCCGCCTGGCAGCTTTGGACCAATGGCAGCGACCCAGCGAACCTCGAACCGCGAACCGCTTTGTCCGCACTCCGTTTCGATGTCTATGGGGCTCTGGGCCGCTCTGACGCTTTGTTTGGGATCGTCGGCGAATGTGACTAGCTCGCTGGCAGTGACTGCGACTGCGACTGAGACTGCGACCGCGAGTGCGACTGCGAAGGCGACGATCGCTGCCGAGCTGCCGGTAGCGACTTCCCCTCGACTCGAGGCAGGCGTTCGCCTCTGGCCCGCTGGAGTGGCTACGGTGTACGGTCTACGGCCTACGGTCTACAGTCTGCGGCTACGGTCTTCGCATCGGAGAACCCAGCAGAAACCGAATCTGAGAGACGGCCCACCGCGGCGAAGGTTCCCAGCGATGTGTACGTTTCGCATTGATATTGGATTTCAATGGTACTTGTACTCCTTATCACGACCGCGCGCCTCTTGGTTCGCTAGTACACTCAGAAAGTTTAAGGTAATTAACTCAACTAAAAGATTTTGAATTTGGATAAGATTTTGAATTCTGAAAAACAAAAAATATCAAGAAGTTTGCCCACAAAAATGTTCTCAAGAGTTGAATTGATTTATTTTGTAAGCTTTTAAGTCTGAATTAAAAACGATTGTTTAAATAAATAAGAAATAAAAATTATTCAGATATAAAAAAATTAAAAAAAATAAGCGACATTATATTAAAATTAAAGTTGCAATAGTATTGGGCTAAGCAAGGTTCAATCCAAATTTAAAAACGGTCAAGTGTCATAGTCAGCAAGGGAGGATGCAAGCTTTGGCAGACCAAATTTAAAATATTTTTGCCACATCAGTTTTTATGTGTACAAAAAAAAAGTTATGTTGGATTTTACTATAGCATAGTCGGTTATTCTTATAAAAATCTATCATAGATTTTTATAAAACTAAATTCGATTTTCAGAAATCGTAAACGGGTTATTTCACGAAGTATATTGAATTATCTATTTATTTAAAAATTACTAGTTTATATTTATACCCGTTACTCGTAGAGTAAAAGGGTATATTGTATTCGTGCAAAAGTATGTAACAGCAGTAGAAGGAAGACGTTTCCGACCCTATAAAGTATATATATTCTTGTTCAGGATCACCTAGCCTGAGTCGATATAGCCATGTCCGTCTGTCCGTCTGTCCGTCTGTCCGTCTGTCTGTCCGTCTGTCTGTCTGTACTAGTCTCTCGTTTTAATGATATCGAATTGAGATTTCGCAAACCCCTTCTTCTTTATAAATAAGCTCGGAACGGCAAGATTGGCTATTTTAATGCCATATAACTGATTGATCGGAAATTCCATACTCTGCTTTTTAGGAGCAAGTTTGGATTTCTATGGGTTTAAAAGGTGGCCATTGACGACCACCTTCATAAGGCGGCCCACTATATCTTATAGCTGCCATATAACTGATTGATTAGAAATGCCATAACTATTGTTCTGAAAAGTAAAAATGCAGTTTTATGTTTTGTTTATGCCTAATCAATCCGACATACCATTTCGAAGGATGGTAGAAGAAATTTTTACTCCAAATAACTGGACCATTCGAAATGCCATAACTTATGCGTGTTTTCAAAGTTAGGAAGTCTGGGATCTCCATCTCCTCGCACTCCCTTATGATGATTTTGGAGTAATTGCGTATCTGATTAAGTCGGGGCTCCGCCCGACTATAGCTTTCTCTTGTTTGTTTTTCTTGTAAAGGTTTATCCAGATAGTTTTAAATGTAATCGAAAAATGTACATTTTATTGGAGAGATATTTTTTCTGTTTACAAGATAGGGGATGCCGGGTACATAAACTTTTACTATAATACATAAATTATTTTGTCAATAAAAAATTAATTTTCGTAGTTAAACGGTTTTTCATTTCGTCGTATGTATAAAATTGTAGGACTATCACTCACTAAAAGTCCGAATCTGTTTATTTAGTTTTAAGTACAGCGTTAAACATTTTTCATCATATCCCCCCTAAAAATTAAATAGGTGTCGCCTACAATATTTAGCGGCTAAGGCTCAATATATCCTTTACATGGTAGGGAATGTCTGGTGCGTTGGAAAACAAACCACTGAGTTGACTGTTTCAGTGTATTCCTTCTCTGGCTCACTGCTCTTGTCGTCTATTGGCTTTGGCACGAATGTTGCTAATGAGGAAACTATTGAATTGTTTCAAGGTTTGCTCTGCTCAGTTTGCTTAGGCTTGTTTGCCTGCGACTTGGCATTTGCGCATAATGAAAGAGTTGCATTCGAGTCGCTCGAAATGCGGACGCCCAGGCAGATGGATGTGGATGGAAGATGGAAGCGAGGCAGAGTAGAGTGGCGGCGTGGAGGAGTTCCTTGGGCTGCCTGGGGTGGCCAGAGGAGTAGGTCATTCCAGCGCGACTTAAGGCGGCGGCAGCTCCGCTGCGTGCCTTTGTGGCATTCATGTTGATGTAGGTCGTTGCTCGGACCCCAGTGAGTAAGCGGGTCCGGGATCTGGGCGGAGTGGGTTCTTTAGTAATGGAGACGAAGGCAAACACTGGCCAGACTCAGACTCACTCCGAGTGCTGGAGCTGAAACTGAGGCTGGAGCCGCAGTACATAAACTGCAGCCAGTTTATGGCCACTTTGTATTTGCACTACGAATCGGGCTTCTTTATGGCAATTTTCAACTGCTCAATTTACATTCGAATTGCTGTGCTTGCAACTATTTGCTGTTAATTTATGCTAATTTCGGAGTCCCACTGAAAGCAAATTACTCCAGGAGTTGGTCGGACAATGGCAATGCAGACCACGGATATGCAAATGGCCGAACCAACTGTTCCTGGCTAAGTTCAGACAGAGTCGATACCTTCAGCTATTGAGTTGAATTCGGGATATTGAAAGAAATTCCGGTACAAACATTAGACTATTTCCTTTTAGCAAATACAAAATAGGAAATTCAAAGTGACTTTAATTTTATTGTCAGGTCTGTGTATTTAAAAGAACAATCCTTTTCTCAGAAAATGGTTTAAAAAGATTCTGATTTATGGACTTTATTCAAAAATGCACTTTAAAATCTAAATCAAATCAGCACTGCGTACCCTACTTTGAAAAATAATGATTGTGTGTTGGGGTAATCCAAGCCCCGAAGCGAGGGCCAAAATCTCCCCAATCAAGTTAATAATTATAGAATGAACGCGTTACATAACCCAGAACGGTAACCGCTAGCTCGATTTTACTGTAATCTGAGTCCCACGCCATCGCCACCACCAGATCCGCCCCTTTTGCCAATCGCCTGTGTGCAAAGTCGTATCAATGAACGACCGCAGCACGCGCCAAAAAACGAGTATTCAAGACCATTATTGTGATCATCATGCCTTCCACGAGAGGCAGACGGGCTGATCGTAAGGTTTCTGGTTTTATATGGCAGTGGGATCTTCTTTAGTGACACCTTCGACTGGGGCGACATTAAATCAAAATTTATTATTGGCATAATTCGTAAAAGACGCAGATCCAGCGACTATTCGCCGATTACACAACCCTCGCATTTTTCTGGGTACAAGTAAATAATATCTACGCCCCCAGTTCCCAGGTTTCTCCCCGCAGAGGTAAACAAGAAAATCTGACTTGGCACTTTAACGAATCGGATTCGGGTTTTGCGAACCCAAGAAGCACTTCCTGCCCAGCAAAAATGGAAACTGCTGAGACAAATTATTTCAAAACCCGTGTTTTTATTTCTGCGCGGCTAACACTTATTCTGGCCACCGTTGCTGATAAGGGAAAGGTGCAGGAATTTGCTCGCTGAGGTGTGAGTGTGAAATCGCGATGCCCAGCTGATAGCGAAACGGACGCAAATCGACGATCGTTGCGACGTAGTATGCAAGTGCGGAACTTCTGGCGATCCGATCCGATTCGCTTCCATCCGATAAAGATTCCAATGCACTGCCCCTCCCGAGGGAAGCACTTGGCATTGGCATTCCGCGATTAGCATGGGGAAATCTGTTTGCGCTGCGACAATAGGCTGCTGTTGACACTACCGCGACGCCGGGAGTTGTTGCGCGTTTATAAGTCTCCGAGGGGAGCTCGATCAAAAGACGTTAGAAGTGCAGAGCTAATCAGGTGAACTTAGGAAGGGGAGTTAGCCACTTGGACAGTAAGTACATTAGTTTGACTACCTTTTGAACTGCCAGCGACAAGTGAGGTGAACAATCTGAGATGACGTTTCCAGATCGGTGATTAATAATAATAATAACATTCCGCAAATACCCTCAAGGTCTACGAACCTATTCCAACGCTAAGTGTTCCGCGGATTGAGCAATTTAACCGAGATCGACTGGAATTGATTTTAATTCCTTGCACGTGCAATGCACCCAAGTGATTGAGAGCCAGAAACCTCTTTGAAAAAGACTCAGTGATTATCCAATGTTAATAAAACTGCCACTAATTAGTCATGACTTCGCGCAAATGACGTAAGGAAGACGTAGGTCCAAAAGTTATATCTGGAAACCTTTTTTCTTAACCCACCACTGTTGTTTCCTTAGTATTAAAGTTATCCAAATGCATTTAAATTTTTACTTTTACACAGTTAAACAATGTTAAACGCCTTTCTCCAATTCGCCAATTTTTAACAGCTACATTGTGATTTATAAGTAAAAATAATGGTTTGGTCAAATCAAACATCACTTAGATGTGCGGAAGGAAATTACATCAAATTCATCAAGACTAAAAATCGTTGTTTAATTAGTTAACATTAAAATAATACACATTTTAATTTTATAAACAATAAAAGTATTAAGTATTATTTCATTTTATAAATTATAATTAAATTTGGAAAACCCAAAATTTGTCAAAAACCCAGATGTAACGCAGATTGGGATTACTTTGGATTCGTACTGGGATCAGTTGCTCAATGTCTTTTAATAATAGTCTTTAACTAATTTTGGTTTTGTTTTTTTTTTTGGTTATCAAATCCGAATATAACAAAATTAAATAAGCACTCAAATTAGTTAGAACAAAATGGAAAATCGATATTCGGAATTATTGAGCGTTAAGAAGTTTAGCTCCTTCCATTTGAGATCAATCAACGTAAGCCAAAAACTATGCAATACCACTTTGGTGACGAAAAAGTGAAAATATTATAAGTCTAACATTCACTAAACAATAATTTAAAAAGTACGTAATTAAAACACAATGTATTTAATTAAAGCAAATTAAGTATAACTTTTTTGCTTTCCTTAACTATAATATATTTTAAAATACACAAAAAATCATGGGCAATTAATGTATTTGTGTAAAAAATTTGTTATAATTTAAAGATTTAATAAATTTGTGAAAATTAAGAAAAATTAAAAGGTTTTAGATATAGTCGTCTGATTTTTAAAGCATTCGAATATCTAGGTTTATCAGCTATTATATTGAAAATATACAATCTATACATCCATCGAATGGCTTGCATAGTTCCCAAGGGGCATGGCTTTTCCTCTACGATTAAGGTGTGTAGCTCGCATTTAAAAAAAACTTTGTGGTTGGTTTTTGTCAAGATCCTCCTCAAGCACCTACTCTCAAATTATTTCCGCTCTTGGCATTTTATTGTTTTTATACCCTTGCAGAGGGTATTATAATTTCAGTCAAAAGTTTGCAACGCAGTGAAGGAGACATTTCCGACCCTATAAAGTATATATATTCTTGATCAGCATCACCAGGAGAGTCGATCTAGCCATGTCCGTCTGTCCGTCCGTCTGTCCGTCCGTCCGTCCGTTTCTAAGCAAACTAGTCCCTCAGTTTTAAAGCTATCTGCTTGAAACTTTCCCAAAAGTTGTCTTTCTATTGCAGGTAGTATATAAGTCGGAACGATCGGAAAAGCCATAACTTTGATGTTTTTAAAGCTAGGAAGTTGGGATTTTTATGAGTTTTATTTTTGACCAATTTATCCGATTTACCAAATTTCATAAGGATCGAACGACTATATCCTATAGCCGCCATATAACTGATTGATCGGAAATGCCATAACTTTGGTGTTTGCAAAGTTAGGAAGTTGGGATTTTCTATGGGTTTTATTTTTGGCCAATCAATCCGACCTACCAAATTTCTTAAGGATCGGCCGACTATAGCTATAGCTGCCATATAACTGAACGATTGGAAATGCCATAACTTTGGTGTTTTTAAAGTTAGGAAGTTGGGACTTTTTATGAGTATTAAGAATACATCATATGAATAATTTTGAAGAATATTTTTTACAGAATATTCTGCAAGGGTATATCAACTTCGGCTCCGTCCGAAGTTAGCTTTCCTTTCTTGTTTTTTTTAAAAGCTCATCAGAAAAATTGTCATAATATTAGAAACAAACTAGCTAAAATAAATTTCTTTAAGAACCTAAATTTAAATCTTGTTCAAAAATGCATTATTAAAAATGACTTAAATCTAATGAAAAACTTATCGGTTTTAACTTCATAAAAATTAAGTGTTTGTTTGCGTTCAAATCACATCACCATAATGGCTGAATTACCACGCAAATAAAAAAAATATCTTTTTAATAAACACCAAATAATGGCCGAAACCCGGCGTTAATTTTACAAGCTAACGAGCCGCATCGTATCCCGCTCTCGGCCCTCTCGGCCCTCTCCAGCCCTGTTTGCTGGCCGTTTCAATTAGCAATCCCATAAAAATAAACAGCGGATAGAACCCAAAGCCAGCCAGTTTCTCCCCTCGATAATCCCGCATTAAGAAGATAAGCGAAAGCTTTAAGCTCTAGGCAGACGTCACACCAGAGAAGCGTCGAAGGCAGCCGAAAAATGCACACCTGACTTGGCGACGTCATCGAAAGGCGTCCGAGGCATCGGACAGGTGCGAAATCACCTGCATTCCGGCGCCAAGCCCCTGCGAGTGCGATCGAAGCCATGGAGTGAATCACTGGCCCAGAAATTCCAAAAAGTGAAAATTCCCAGCTAAGCAGCTCCAATCGATGAACGACTCACCAGAGCAATTAACCAGCGGCAAGCCGAAATTACCACACTTGAGTGGTGCCCACCGAGAGTCCAGTGGGTTTTTCGCCTTTCTTGTGTCGGTTCCACTTGCTGCCCACTAGGAAATTATGCACACGCACCCGAAAGTGCAGAATCTGCAACTGCGGCGAAAGGCGAGAGGCGAGAAGACTCTCTCCGAAGAAACCAGTTTGCATCTTTCCGCCTCTCTTCCGGCGGAGTCTTATCGGTGTGGGACTTTTGCCCGATTTTCTCTTGGCTTTTGAGCACCAAGTGAAACCAGTTTGCCAATGTGTAAGGTGGGTGTTGCACTCCGAGATCGGCTTATTTTCGCGACCATTGTAGTTGAAATATGAGTGCTTAAGTTTCATTTTATGGGATATATAAGAGTGCTCAAGAAGTTTGTGTTTCTGGTGACTGCACTGCGAGAATTTTCCTAGTCCACCTAGAACTTGATTGCCCATTGTCTACCAATCAGCCGAGTGTTTTTTCTCGGGCTGTCTGCGCATTGAAAATTGACTCGCTTGTAATTAACAAAACAAGCAAACAAGCAACAAATGTTTATGGCACGTCGGCGGATGGGGGAAGCTCCGCAGTTGCCCCAGCAACACCAGCAATAACAACAGCTGTTGGGGGAGCTCACGCACTGGTTTTCAGCCGACGGACCGCAAAGCGCCGCGCGAGAGAGGCCCCAAATCACGGCCAGGTTGGGCGACTCACCAGCTTCGCTCGGTTAGTTAAGCGCGGTTTGCCAGTCGGTCGAGTCGATCTGATCTGTTGCTCGGGCGGCACGCGAATCCAAGTACCAGCCATGTCCAAGTACTCGAAGCTGGCCCGCGGGCTGTGCGACCTGCTGATCTGGGTGGCCCTCAGCGCGGCCAGTGTGCTGCTCCACAAGCTGGTGCGGCCCTTCCGGCGCGGCTTCTTCTGCGGCGACGAGTCCCTGAGCTACCCGTACCACGACCAGACCATCGGCCCCGAGCTGGTCATCGGCATCGTTCTGGGCGTGCCCACCGCCGTGATCGCCGTGGTGGAGCTGTTCAAGCAGCTCCCCGGCGGACCGCTGCGGGAGGCCGGCGGTGGCGGAGGCGGCAAGCGGGACGGCTGCCGGATGGCCCACCGGCTGGGCCACCTCTACCGTCAGGCCTTGTTCTACCTGTACGGCCTGGCCATGGTCACGTTCACCACGATGATCTCGAAGCTGTGCATCGGGCGCCTGCGGCCGCACTTCTACGCCGTGTGCCAGCCCATGCTGCCGGACGGGAGCAGCTGCCAGGACGGGCAGAACCTGGGCCGCTACATCGACAGCTTCACGTGCAGCAACGCCAACATGACCGACTTCCAGTTCAAGGAGCTCAACCAGTCCTTCCCCAGCGGCCACGCCAGCATGACCATGTACGCCATGCTCTACCTGGCCATCTACCTGCAGGCGGCGCTCAGCACCAGCGTGTCGAAGCTGCTGAAGCACCTGCTGCAGTTCCTCTTCGTGATGTTCGGCTGGTACGTCTCGCTGACGCGGATCACCGACTACTACCACCACTGGAGCGACGTCCTGGCGGGGGCGGCGATGGGCGTGGTCTTCGCCTGGCTCACCAGTGCCTACGTGGCCGACCTGTTTGCCGGCAGGCGCTGGCAGAAGTCGGGCTACTCGGCCAACACGTTGCGCAAGCCGCAGGTGTCGCCGAAGAGCTCCACGAAGTCGCAGGCGGGCGGATCCGCCGCAGGAGCAGCCCAGCCGCCCGCTCTGCCGGCCTACACCTTCGGAACGCTGCCCTACCTGGCGGCCCACCCGGCACAGGCGCAGGCGCAGTACGCCCAAACCTATCACAACTACGGCTACGTGCCCTGAGCTCACTGCCGGATTCCTGGCTTGGAGACCCACAAGCGCACACTCATTCACGAACAAAGTCTTGCACGGAATTCCTGACTGGTTGTCTGTATTCTAGCTAAATAAATATTCAAGTACGATACGAACACGCAGCTTGTTTCGGTCTGTAGAATGGGCAAAAACCTCGGTGGAATAGAAAGTGTTTCATCGATTGGCAGATGATGGCGAACTTCGTCTACTTTTGAAAGTTGTGGCATCCGAAGTTTTTGATCGGAGTTTTGGCTTACCTGCAAAGAGAAGAAGAACAGAGGGCTTGGGTTACAATGGATTCGGCGCATTCCGAAGGTGTTACAACAGATATATTCTAGGAGATAAAACATTTCAACTGCTATAAGTTTCTATTGAATATAGGTTGCAAACATTTACAGTTACTTGCTTTTGTCCAAAAGACACAACAAGTTAAGATCGCGCAAAAAACACCTGCAAGACCATGTCGAAACAAGATATTAATGGATTCCGGACTTGAAAATTACACTAAAAAAAATTTTAATATTGCCTTATATAGTTTGTTCCTGAAAACTAAATTAAAAGAAAAATAGAAATTGGTTTTTATTGTTTCAAGAATAACTTTATTTCTGAAGTATTCCATAAAAACAATATACAAATTAAGAATATTAAGAATTATTTATGCTTCTGACTAATTTTAATAATTTTGTTCTCGGTACTTGGAAAGACTTAAATAAAAATTAAAAATTAAAATCTCTTCTATTTTTGGAAAACTTGAAAAATTCAAGTTTTAACTTAAACCAAACTTAACAAATTTTATGATTCTTGGAATAAATTATCTAAGCCATGACATATTAAAGTATTCGATAAGCGAAAGAGACCCACGGACTGATCAGAAGGAAAAGCAAAACAAAGGTTTGTGAAACAAGTTTGTGTGGCAGTAACCTCCAACACGGCTGGACTGATGGAAATGCAAATGAGCCCTAACCAGGTCGAAAGAATCCGATAGCTTCGGTCCGCCCATTCTTCAGTCTGAAAATGTGCGGCAATCCGAACACGCGTCTGCTTTCGCGGCTAGTCATCGACTTCCTGATTCTTCTGGGGATCTATGGAGCGGCCCTGGTGGTGCTCCCCCAGCAGATGGCGACGGCCCAGCGGGGCTTCCACTGCAGCGATGCCAGCCTGAAGTATCCCTATCGCCAGCCCTGGCTGACCAAGGTCCACCTGACGATCGCGGTGGTGGCCCTGCCCGCGGCCTTCGTGCTCGTGGTGGAGATGCTCCGGGCCGCCGTGGTGCCCAGCTCCGCGGAGCTGAAGCAGCGCTTCGTCTTCGTGGGCGTCCGCATCCCCAGCTTCATTAGCGAGTGCTACAAAGCCGTGGGCGTGTACCTCTTCGGCCTGGGCCTGACCTTGCTGGCGATTCGGCTGACCAAGCACTCGACGGGCCGCCTGAGGCCCTACTTCCTCGACGTCTGCCAGCCGACGTGGGGCGAGGAGGGCGGCGAGGGCTGTTCCGGGCTGTCCGCGGAGAACTCCACCCTCTACCTCGAGGACTTCAGCTGCACCGAGTTCGCCGCCTCGCAGGACCTGCTCGCCCTGGTGCGGCACTCCTTCCCCAGCGGCTTCGTGTCCAGCTCATGCTACGCCATGGGCTTCCTGATCCTCTACGCCCAGGCCCGCCTCTTCGCCCCCTGGCTGCGATTGGTGCGGGCCACGCTGCAACTGGCCTGCGGCTCGCTGGCCCTAGTGGTCTGCTGGGAGCGCATCTCCACCTACCAGAACCACCTGACGGACGTGGCGGCGGGCGCGGCCCTCGGCTCTCTGATGGCCCTCTTCGCCACGGTCTCCGTGGCCCACTTGTTCGCGGAGGTGCGGGTGAAGCGCCGGCAGTGGCCGAGGAACGAGCAGATCTACGGCTACGCGGGGTACTACAGCAGAGCCACCTACGGCTACTGATCTGGGAGGGGTTGGCTTTGCTACATTTAGACACGCTAATAAAACGCTTTTAATTTATTAACGCAGTTGGTGGTTAGTTAATTGTAAAGGCAGGTTCCAGTATCGGGACTTTAATTGCTTAACGGCTTCTGTGTCGATTCTTGCTTATTGGATTTGATCCGGCTCCGATTCCGATACGATATTTTTATACCCTTGCAGAGGGTATTATAATTTTGGTCAAAAGTGTGCAACGCAGTGAAGGAGACATCTCCGACCCTATAAAGTATATATATTCTTGATCAGGATCACCTCCTGAGTTGATATAGCCATGTCCGTCTGTCTGTCCGTCTGTCCGTCTGTCTGTTTCTACGCAAACTAGTCTCTCAGTTTTAAAGCTATCGAGTTGAAACTTTGCACACAGCCTTCTTTCCTTTGCACGCAGTATATATGTCGGAACGGCCGGGATCGGCCGACTATATGCTATAGCTGCCATAGAACTGAACGTTCGGAACGGCCATAACTTCGGTGTTTTTAAGTTAGGAAATTGGGAATATTTATGAGTTTTAAATTTGGCCAATCAATCCGACCTACCAAATTTCATAAGGATCGACCGACTATATACTATAGCTGCCATATAACTGATTGATCGGAAATGCCATAACTTTGGTGTTTGTAAAGTTAGGAAGCTGGGATTTCCTATGGGTTTTATATTTGGCCAATCAATCCGACCTACCAAAGTTCATATGTATCGGCCGACTATATCTTATAGCTGCCATATAACTGAACGATTGGAAATGCTATAACTTTGGTGTTTTTAAAGTTAGGAAGTTGGGATTTTTTATGAGTATTAAGAATGCATCATATGAATAATTTTGGAGAATATAATTTACAGAGTATTCTGCAAGGGTATATCGACTTCGGCTCCGCCCGAAGTTAGCTTTCCTTTCTTGTTCATACTGAATGAGTTGGAAATGAAAACATTCGATTTGATTGTAGGAATATGCACATATGTAAAACCTTTAAAATCTGGGATATTATATACCCAAAACTATTCACGGCAAGGACCTGCCATGAACACATAGTTTGTCATATGCGTATAAGTTTTGTACTTTGTGTTTAGCTGATTAAAAATAAAGTGTAATTAAACATAAAATAAAGCTAACTTTGGCAAGCCGAAGTTTATATACCCTTGAAGCTGCTACACAAATGAAATATTCTATATTTTGATTCCGATTCTTAAAAACAATGAAACAAGGTCGATTCCCTGATCAATTTTTCGATTGTTAGTATGGTAGCTGTATGATAAAGTCATTAAATAAAAAAATTTCAGAAACTGTTAAGAATGATATATCTCGAAGTATACGGATATATGATAAGAAACAGCAAAGGTTTAATTTTTATTTGTATGACATAATCGGACGATCAATTCCGTTCCGTCTTTTGTACTACCTGTAACAGAATGACAACTTTTTGCAAAAGTTTACGTTGATGCTGATCCATAATATATATACTTTATAGGGTCGGAAATGTCTCCTTCACTGCCTTGCAAACTTTTGATTGAAATTATAATACCCTCTGCAAGGGTATAAGAATCATAAGTCCCTTTTAAGTCAGCTTGCTTACTCACACAAGTTGTCATCAAATTGGTCACTGATAAAAATTAACTTTTATTTATAAATAGATTTTGATGGTGCTTTAACACTTTAAGTCTATAATTAGAAAAATGCTGAAACAAGGCAATACAATTTATATTCCTTTTGAGATATAGTCGACTTATTAATCACATTTTACTCTGAAGACTTAAGTCGCAATACCGACAAAGCAAGAAGTAAGCCTGACAAACCCAATTGGGATCAGTACCAACAAAATTGATGCACAGTTAAAGTGTTTGACGGGGTTATACATCATTTGAATTTTGTAATAAGGCATTTTGTAGTCGGGGAATGCTTATGAATCAATATTCGGTTCAAAGCTTTCAAGCGTAACTGCCAAACCCCGATTATGGAACCCAATCCCGGGTTAGCCACGACCCGAACCATTGCTTACGATCCACATAACAAGTGGTTCGCGATCGCCACTTCCTGATAAGGCAGCTGACCACCGTCCACAGACGCTCTCGCACTACTTGGGCCCTCTCTCTCTCTCTCTCTCTCGCCAACAATCGCCGGTGCAAGAACAACTCCATAGGTTTGTTTACAAAGCCATCGTTGTCGTTTGTTTTCATCATTCAGTCGCGATCGCGAGGCGGCGCTTAAAAGTTTACGCGTCGGATTAAACAACAAACAAACGTTAAGCAAATACCAAACAGTATAAAAGGTGAATAATTACTTAATTACATGGCTGAGTACGTGATGGCCAGGAGGTAAACAGAATCGTGATGGCATTAAATCATAAGCCCATCGTAAAGAATCCATAAAAGTATGTAAATTGGCTTGGGGCTTCTGCCACCTGTTACACTTCGCAGGCTCAAAGTTCGCCGGTCACTTTAAAATACCAGCAGCACTAAACTAAATAGTGGCAAATAAGCGCCGGGAGTTCTGTTTTGAATGCAGTCCATATGTCCGCGATATTTGGGAACTGAGGGGAGGGGGCCGAGATACATACTCACAGAGGCAGGCCGCCTTAATTCAATCAAATGTCGCTTATTCATTCAATTAAAGGTCGCGCCATTTGACGTCCCACTATGAATGCGTCTGTGAATACAAATATCAAAGCGAGTGAGTGTGGCCGGAGCCAAGATGTGAGTGATTCGGAGGAGGGATGGTGGGGAGCCGAGCCCGCTTTGACTGCGTTCCGTTTTTTAACGTAATTGACAGTTAAACTTTGTGCACATGTTCGGCAGGATGTCATGCAGATCAGGAACTGGGAAGAGCAGGGGCCACAATGGGGGCCATTCTTGGAGGAGAGATTAGCGACAGCTCGAGTACGGCGCTCCGCCAAGCAGAGTTGCAAGTCTGCGGCCCCGATAGTGCAAATCTTGTGGAGACGCGACTATGCGACGGCTGGCTGCCCTAGAACAATAGCACGCCTCTCAATGAGTAACCTTTGAGTCACGCCAACAGCCCAGCTTGTTGACCCGCTACTATCGATGCGGTGGCTTATCAATGCGCAAAAACCGCTTGAGATATGAAGAAGACACCGGCCTAAATTGGGTAAACAGAGGAACCTAGTAATCACAAAAGCGCTGAATTGCAATGATTTGGCACTAAAGAAGCTTTCGCGCCTATCATGAGCACTGTAATTTATCTTATCAAAATGATCTTGAGCTTGTTTGAGCAGCTTCACTGAGAGAAATGGTTAGCGGCACATTGCAATGACATTCCTTTTTTTTTTAAATACATCATATTCGGTCGAGGCTCAGACCTCTATTAGTCCAATATCTTCGTCCGATAATTTTAATTAATTAATTTAATTTTAATTAATCTAAATCTTAATTTTTTATTTCAGTGTTCTCTGGAGTCTAATCTAGTAGAACCGCAACAACACTTTTTTCCCCGAAGTCGGCTAACCACTATACAAAAGGCCATAAACAAATTGCTCTGACGCAGAGAATTCCAAAATTATCTGAGAGCGGAGAGAGTTGGGGATCCAAAAACAATGTCAGTGGCGTCCCGCCTATCAAATGAGCGTTAAATTAAAAGAACGTTACCCAAGCGACGCCGGCTCAGTCAGACACTGACAACGAACCCGAAGCAACGAACGGGCGCGACGGGTAAAATCCAAACGAAACGAAAAGCTAATTACCAGCAAGCATAAAGGCCACTTGGAATATTAACTAATTAAAGCGACCCAGCCACGAAATGCGCGACGCCCCCGAAGATCAGTCCATAACCGTTTCCATCCCGGGCTCCGCCTCCGCCTGTGCCGTCCCCGACTCCACTGATGCGGAGTGCCGCAGGGCGGCTGACCGCCGGATGACCCAGCGCCTGCTCATGGAGCTCCTGGTGGTGGTGGTCCTGCTGATCCCCATCTGCGTGTACGAGTTCGCGGTGGATCCAGTGCGGCGCGGCTTCTTCTGCGACGACGAGAGCATCAGCTACCCGTTCCACGACAACACCGTAACGCCGGTGATGCTGGGCCTGATCGTGGGCCTGCTGCCGATCCTGGTCTTCGTGGTAGTGGAGTACGTGGCCCACCTGAGAGCCGGAGACATCTCCGCCACTGTGGACCTGCTGGGCTTGCGAGTGTCCACCTGGTTCGAGGAGCTGGCCCGCCAGACCTCCTTCTTCTGCTTCGGTCTGCTGCTCACCTTCGACGCCACCGAGGTGGGCAAGTACACCATCGGCCGCCTGAGGCCCCACTTCCTGGCCGTGTGCCAGCCGCAGCTGACGGATGGAACACTGTGCTCCGATGCGGCCAACCTGCACCGCTACGTGGAGAACTACGAGTGCGCCGGCGAGGGCTTCTCTATGGAGGACGTTCGCCAAGCACGCCTCAGCTTCCCCAGCGGCCACTCCAGCTTGGTCTTCTACGCAATGGTCTACGTGGCGCTCTACCTGCAGCGAAAGCTCTCCTGGCGAGGATCGAAGCTGAGCCGCCACTTTGTCCAGTTCGCGCTGGTGATGGTGGCCTGGTACACGGCCCTCAGCCGCGTGATGGACCACTGGCACCACTGGTCCGACGTGCTCTCCGGATCGCTCCTGGGCGTGGCAGGCGCGCTGATCACCGCCCGCTTCATAGCGAGGATGTTCGACGAGGGGGTGCACGGGATCGGCATCGTGACCGGAGGTCTGCGGAGGGAGAACACCGCGGCCACGCTGCAGGAGGAGGTGTGTCCCAGCACACCACCCCCCTACTCGGCGAACGGCAGCTTCAACGAGGATCAGTACTGCACGAAGGTCTAGAAGGTGCCAGACGCTCTTGGAGCCATGTAAATTCGAAACATTCCAAAGGTAGCAATAAAGTAAAGAAGAACAATCAGCCCGAGTTGAACCAGTAGTATCTACACCTCGTTATAGAGCATTAGGATTAGAAATCACCCATTTGAATAGTTCATTTAAGTCTGTATCTGCATTCCCATCTTACATGTAAGTCATCGTATTATTATTTGTGTATTTTAATTGGTACCAGTGAAATAAACCAGTAAACGGAATATAGATCATTCGCCCACTGTGTTGTTTTAATCTGATCCATTGTGTGTTTACTCGCTTATCTGTACTTCGTGTTATTTATTTGTCAAATTTCAATGTCAGCTCGATAATCACCCACGGGGAGTTTAAGCAAATAATGGGATCTCAATGGATTGTGCAAATTCAAGTTAAATACAAAAGCTTGAAATATTAAGTTTGATCCAATTTACCTATTTTATATTTTGGATATGTTCTAACCCTGGTCAAGTTTTTTGCCTAGATGAAAACAACTTTATATAAGTTACTATTCAGCCCTTTTCGTTCCAATTTTTATTCTACAATTAAAAAAAGTAATTTATAGGCGTTGTTCAATTAGCGTTGTCTTAAAAATAAATTATATCAGATACAAACAAGTAAGTAACTCATTTCCAAACAATACATGTTGTTTGCAGCTGTAGCTAAAATTTGTATATATGAGAAGTTGTTTTAAATATAAAAACCTTTTTTTTAAGTTTATATATTGTATTTTTTCTATCTTCCTTAAGAATAAATGTGAAGATATTGAATTTGAATCTACAAGTTTTCTACAAATTCGGATACTATTCGGTTGAAATAATTGTCAGGCAAACCCTCATGTGATTTTTTTCGGTGTATAATTTATATTTTTTTAGAATGTGCGTCTTTTGTCGGTTAAATTTTGTTTATATTTTTTAGGTTCAATAAAACTGTTTTCTTTTATGCTGCCCATTCTTTGCTAATTTTTACGAAAACTTTGAGCATTCACACATAGTTAGTTTTCCACACTGAGAGACAAAATTCAAGATCAACATTTTTTCTTTAAAGACCGTTTCTAAGACTTCTGCTCATCGTAAGAATGGTAAGCTTGCTTAAAGAATATCTCGTTCTTGACAAAGGCAATATTGCATTGCGGTCTGGCTTAATGGGAAGATTGGTTCCTTCTAAGAAATATTATGAATAACTGTTTTTTTTTTTAAATCAAGCAAATAAAGCGAAATTAGTTATTGTTAAACATTATGACGTCTTTTTAAATTATGAAAAATATTTTTAAATTAAGACTTATTTTTACTGATGAATCCAATACAATACAACTACAAATCTCGACTGTCTTTTGACACTATTTGGTCTTGATTACGAGACAATTTTTTTATTCAAAATTGTTTTTTCTTTGTGTTAGTAATATATTAAAAAAGTGATTTATATTAAACTTCCCGATTGCACATATTTTTGAATTACTCATACTGTCGCTAGTATTTTCGTGAACATCCGATGAGCAACATAATTTTAGGAAATGACCAACATATGATAATAATCATAAATGTGTTTTTTGTTCTATTTTACACAATATAATTGAAACAACTAATGAACAATTTTTTGAGTTTTAAAATAAAAAATGTCACGACAATCATTTTAAAGGGGCCACTTTTACTACTTTTAGATTTGGGGTGTTACTGTAATTTTTCGCTCAGTGTTGTCATACCTGGCTGCCTGGGCAAATGGAATTGGTCAAAATGTGTTTTGGCTGGCCATGATTCATCAACGTTGTGATGATTTGTGCTGCGTCACAGCCGCGCAGCAGTATAACCCAAGAATTTGTCTTCTCCCAAAACTCCTCTGCGATGATGATGATCGTGAGAAAGCGCCGCAGCTCTTGAGACTCTTCAATTGGTGAACCTAGCTCATGAATCAAGCGACGTTAATCTGATTTTGATGGACCCCTGACCCACCAATTAATGAAATTCGAAGAGAGCATCAAAGAGCGATGCGGCGAGCTTTCCAAGAGCTTTTTATGGATCTCTCGGGGCTGAGGTCTACGTCAGCATGAGATCTGGGATCCGCAGTAAATAGCAACTCGCGTGTTTTGCGGCAGTGGGTTTCAGGGCCAGACGAGCTTGGTAGTGATAATACCGCCAGCACGTGCTTGGCAACTGACTGATAACCTGCGGAACAACTAGTACACTTTGTTTTTCGACTCGGGATTTCCACCCAAGGAAAAACATTGCCAACGTCAGCTCGAGCCCCCTTTCGGCTGGGGTCTAATAATACAATCAGTGACAACAATTCGAATTGTTTATTAATAACTCGAGTCAAGCGGGCCTGAGCTCAGATTGCTGGGGCTGTTGTCCGACTTCGACCCGAGCCGCGAATCAGTGTCTAGCGAGCCGCCGAATCGATCGCACCTAATCCGAGTCGAGCATCTATAATGGGCAGCAGTCTTCGTTTCCGGCCACCCGTCTACCTCCTGGTAGATGTCGTCCTGCTGGGCTTTCTTCTCGTCGTGGTGGAGAACTTTCGCTTCATCTTTGGGCCACCCACGAGCCGCGGCTTCTTCTGCAACGACGAGTCCTTGATGTACCCATACCATGAGAACACCGTCAGCCCCACCCTACTCCACTGGCTGGGCCTGTACCTGCCGCTGATCAGCCTGTTCTTTCTGGAAAGCTTCTTAAGCTACGAAGGGGGCTTTGCCAGCTGGGGTAAGCTCTGGCCAGTGTACAACACGGTCCGCTGGTTCCTCTACGGCTACGTGTTCAGCGACCTGCTAAAGGGCATTGGTAAGCACACAATCGGACGACTGAGGCCCCACTTCCTCGCAGTGTGCAGACCTCACTTCGCAGACGGGACCAACTGCTCAGACGCGGCCAATCGAGGAGTGCTCAACTACCACTCGGACTACATCTGCCGGCCCGATCTCCCCCAAACCAGCGAGGACATGATCCGGGACCTAACCGTGTCCTTCCCCAGCGGACACTCCACCATGGCCTTCTACGGCCTGGTCTTCGTGGCGCTGCACCTGCGCCGTCGCCGCTGGCCTCTGCCGGGATCCCTGCTGGGCCCCGTGCTCCAGCTGGCCTGTGTTGCCGTGGCCTCTTTCGTGGCCCTCAGCCGGGTCATGGACTACAAGCACCACTGGTCGGATGTTGCGGCCGGCTCGCTGTTGGGTGTTGGCACCGCCTTTGCGGTTGTCCAGGCTGCCGCACTCAAGGAGCGGGAGAGGGAATGCCAGGAGGAGCAGGCTGGTGCGAAGCAGGAGGCTGCGGTGTTCGAGGGAGCCGCAGTTAAGGGTGTCCAGCAGATGCCGCATGATTTGTGTCTGGTTACGTGCCAGAGCTCTAATTAGTCGGGCTGGCGTTTTAGCTCTGGCACTGGTAGATTAAGGTCGACAATAAAGTTAGTGACAAGAGAATCACCTAGTCGAATCTGGGGCTGGGAGAAATCCGGATGGCGGTCGATCAATTAATGCGCATCTCGTGCCAAATCGGTGGAAACTGGAAACTTCAAGATCGCTCAAGCGGTTAAACGCCTGAGTTAGGTAACAAAACAACAGTGATTAGCTAAGCCATTACAATTGCAACAAACATTCTTTTTGCACCAATGCTTGCGGTTGTCTCAATTTCAATGCAATTTATAAACTTATTGACAATATTGTCCACAAGTACGTTCGTTTCTCGGCTGCTTTAGAATTATTATTTTATGCCTATATTTTTATGGAATGACTGGCATTTAATCATGGAGTCAGCAATGAAATGTCTTTAGCTACGCAATAACAAACAACTTGGAAGGTAGCTGAACATGTCCGGGGATTTTTTCGGCTTATTTAACAGGGGACGAAAATAGAATTCCTAAGAAACCAGATTGAAGCTCCCAGACATATTTTAAGAAGATAACAACTATCTCCGCCGTTTGGCGTATACAAAATAAAAATAAAATAGCTCAGCTCAAACGCAAATGATTGTCATTGTTGTTGCGTTGACAAGGCGCCACGAATTAGCGGCTCCTTCAGTTTCATTAGCAGCGATTCAAAAGACTTAACCCCAGTCAACAAGTTCGCCGCGAACGGTCGAACCGAAACGAGGTATAAATAAATTTCAGCAGCCAGCGCATAAATTGGGAAAAGGACCCAGCCCAATCTCCTCCGAATCTCCGACGGCGACGATGATGCGCAACACCTGGACCCGGCCCAATCCAATCCGAGGTCGGATTTGCGACCTGGCCCACTCCGCTCACCCACATCAGGTGGGACAAGGGCGTTTGGTCCGCAGCTTAATTGGCTCATTTATTTTAATGGCAAAGAAAATGCTGGGAAATTGTGGTTATTTTTTCCTCGCCCTCCGACTAATTCCGCCTTCTCGTTTCCTCTCCTTACCCAGCTTTTATTATGATTAATTATGGCTCGCATACACAGGGATACTGACCCAAAGCTCCACTTTCTTGCCAACTTTTGCAACTGTGTCAAGTTGTTGTTGTCGCTTTCCTTCTGCCTTTGTTGTTGTACGCCTCCAGATTCGAATGATAAATTTCTATGCAATTTATTTTAATCTGCAGCGACAGTTCCTGCCACACTAGCGCTTCCCTCACCGCTCACCCCTTACCCCGCACCAACACCATCGCCAGCTAGTTTTCATGCGTTAATTAAATGGAAAATATTTGCATACTAGGCAACAACACCGCAACGGGAACTTTAGCTGCAATCCAAAACAATGACCCACATACAGCATTAGCGAAAGTTTTGTTTTGTTTACCCGACAGGGGCGAAAAGGGGATGCCTGAAAACTTGGAACTTAAGTTCTTTGGGAGTTCATTAAACAGCGGTAACTGGAGGAAGTTTTCCCTGCGCCAGGCTAATTGCAAATGGTGAGGCCATCTGGAGGAGGTTACCCCAGACCTGTATCGGTTTAATCCCTCACCGACCTTTGTCATCAATCAAAGCCCTTGATCAGCTCGGACTTTCTATCAATCGCTGCAGCACATGAAATTTAAGAGCTCCGCTGTCGCCGAGTCTCTAATCACCGCCAGGTGTGATAATGCGGCCAGTCGGTGTCCGGGTTACGTCCAGTGCGGCAGTTTGTCACTCCGCATTATCTGCCCCGTCGCTTGCCACTCGTCCATCAGATGTCCATCGCTCGAGCTAGGGGGTTCCGTCGTACTCAGAACGAGAACTCCATTCTCGCACCGCCTGCTGCATTTTTGCATGGTTGTTTGCTCAACAAAATATCCCAAAGCATTTCGGGGATTTTCCACTCATCCTGCTGCTGCCGTTGTCGTTGCTGCAACATGCGCTTCATATTTCTGCGGTCGTCGTCCCGGACCTCTCCCTGGACCTGGCCAGCTTTTCCACTTGCTATTTGCCATCAGCAGTCATCAGTGCCCTTAGAACCCGTCCATCCGCCCAGCTCTGCTTCAATCGTTGGCTTCATGTGTGTAAAGACAATTTGATAATCGCAAAATGCAGCATAGTTTGAGTTAATGAAGCTTGTGTGCCATGTGTGCCACCTTCGGATGGCATCCCTTGGCAGTGCCAGCCAGACGACTCGTTCGTTGTCGTTGTAGTTGTAGTTGTAGTTGTAGTTGCAGTTGTCGTTGTTCGTTGGACAACAACCGGAGCGTTTTGCTTGCCAATTAGTAATTTGCTTGCTGCCCGGCTAGGGAACCGACCAGACTCGGTCGGTCTGTGCCTGACAACCTGAGGGAGTTTTAAAATACTCGAGGTGGGGACCGCAGGCAGGTATGACTTGACTGGATTGAAGGGCGAGACTAGCTCAAGCTCGTTTAAAGGCTGGCCAACTGGCGCTGCTTTAATCAATAAGTTACAGGAAGTTATCCTGTGAAAACTTAATAGAAACAATGATACTTTTCTACAAGTAACGGGCTTAAATTGGTGTACCTTTTAGCACCCCTTAGTTACATAGATATTTAGAAAACAATATATCTAACTAGCTATGTATTTATTTTCGCAAATACTATATATAGTTTTCAATTTGTTTCAATTAATTTAAGGGACATGCTCAGAGATGTTTGGCTGCTGTCAACTTACATCCAACTTGTACAACTTATCGTTCATCGAAGCTGATGTGACAAGGCGACAAACGGAGGGGGTCTGCAACATTGCAATTTGAATGGAAAACAGCAGGACTGTCAGGCAAGGCGGGAAAATAAACTGGTTCTTTTCGGCGTCACCTTTGTGCTCAGCTCGTTTCCGATTCGATGTCCTGTCGTAGAAATCACACGCAGCCTCGACACGTGACATCAAAGGACACTGGACCCGGGATGAGGGGGACGGGCGGTCGAATGGCGGCCATTTTGTCGCCGCCATCGTTATTAATGGGGCTGACACAGGACCAGGATCCGATCCTGGACTGCTGCGATGCTAACTTCCGTCGTGCTGGGATTTTTTCGCGGCCATTTCCCGGTCCGTGCTTTCTTTTTCGATGTCTCTGACAATTTTGACTGCTGTGCTGCACGGCGTCGGGATGTCCTGGTCATGGATGGGCCCTGGACAGCAGTCGGAACAGGTGTGGCCGTCAACTGGCAATCAACTTTCATTTAGCAGCATCATTTGTCACGCTTGTTTATTGCCCGGTTACGTGTTGGCCACACTTAATGGTTGTTATTGTCGCCGTCCGGCATCGCAAAAGCAGCATGGGGGGAGGGGGAGAAGCCGGATGCAGGACGTCACAAGACGGTGCGCATTGCATAGGTCCGGGATGTGCCATTGGAGACGGATCGATTTAAAATCAGAGCCAGCTGTCAGTGGGAGCTTTATGGAGCACCCCGTGCACACACACGCTTCCATTACCCCACCCACCCCTGAAGCACCCGCACACTGAGTCAGCTCATAACTAAAACATAACCCCAATTATGCCACAAGCTCCGATGCTGATTCATTGATGAGCTCCGGCAGAAGCCAAAAACGAAATGAAAACGCAGCCGTAGCTAATGCCGCGTTGATTATGAATATTTTAGGGTCCGGGTCTCGCACAGCCGCTGTGATCATCGCCATCCTCATCCTCATCCAATGGCAATGATGATGATGACGATTTGGGGGCAGGGGTGCTGCCTACGCGGGCAATAAATTTATATGCCGGGCCCTGCCTACTGGGCATATGAGAATTTACATTTTGGCAATTTCCAGCTGTCGAAGGCCTCCTCTGACCGCAGGGCCGATAGGAAATCTTCGGCGGGTCCGGAGCCGCGTCCGCAGCGGAGTGCATCGCGTAAATTCCGTTACGACGCTGCCGGCTCGTTTTGCCAGCAAATGCAATTTCCTAATTTCTCTCTGGGGAAATGGCCTAAGAACCTGGACGGGGCTGCTGACCACTCGGGCCGGGGTCGTCCGGCGCCTCCGTTCCCGGAGGTGGTTCGGGAGGTGTTCGCTTCCAAATTAATGACCCGACGCCGCAGACGATGAGCAGCACCAACAAAAAGGGGGAACGTGGCCGGAAAAAAGAAGAGGAGCGGCCGCAGACAAAGGCGCATAAATGCATAAAGTGAAGTCGGAAAATGGCTGCAATTGGAGAGGTCTCACTAGGGAAACCCTGCCACTTCACCCTGCTCACTGCTTATGCAAAGCAAATTGGTTTATGCATGAGCCGGCGGACAGACGAAACCGAACCAAACCATACGAAACGTAGCGAAAGGATGTAAGGAGCTTCACACTAAAACAGCCAAAGCCGTAGCTGATATGATGGAAACACGGCGGGAGGGGCAGCCGGAATGGGCCGGTTCGGGAGGTCCGGGCTAAGTAAATTGTTGGCTCAGCCCTTGATTAGCTTAGCCGAGTTCAGAAGGGGAGGTCAGCATGCACGGGATGCGGGGCTGGGGGAAGCTGTTGGCCGTAATGCATTTTGAAAACCACACGAGCGGAATTTATGTATGTGCATCCGTTCTAACGAAGGGTTCTGCCAGAAGGGCGCTGCATTAAAATTTCAATATGCAACTCCTGTTTTATGCCGCGTTAAAGCTAAGTGCTACGTTACCCCAGGACGGGGATAAAGTGGATGATGCGGTCTCCTTTCAGAACGAGGGCCTAGCGCTGGATTGCTTCCTATAAATCGCAAGCCCAGACAAAAATAAATGTTTTTAAAATGATTATTAAACGGTCATGATACGAGCCACGCTTCAATGGGTAATGACAACCACATATCGAATTTTCCCCTCCCCAATCCCTTTCAGCTGTTTGGAGCCAAAATCAATAAACGACCACAACGAAAATGTCGAAGGCTTAGAAGCCAAATTGGATTCAAAAGGGATCGAGGGATTGGGAAACGAGTACCAATCCTGTCCGGGTCTAAGTAAGCAAATAATAATAAAGGGCTGGAATAAAAGTAAAAGTAAAGCGCATATTGTTTTTGGCCCCCCCAGTGGGGATTAAGATCTGCACGACCATCGATGATGACATGACGGAGG